AAAATCCCTATGAGCTCTGGCAATTGGGCAGAGAGCCGCACATCGAGCCAGCCGAATAAACCACATCAACTACAGTACAACTTTGTCTCAAATCATCCTCTTGTGTCGATTCATATAACCTGTCGGGTTATACTTTCCTCTCCAGTGTTTGAACATGCGTGTCCTTGACGTGATCACATGTAGACCTATATTTTGCCTCGTGCCCAACACAAATTCCGTGACCCGAAGGCGTATTTACATTTGCAGGGCAAATCAAGCCTAAGGATTCGCTCTTCAGATATCCAAGAGGAAAGAGTCCTTCGGATTACAGCGATGAGACATTCATGCCGACTTTTTTATCACTTGAAGATTATCTGACCAAAGCAGCACGAGAGATTTGCGGCAACGTTTCACAATGTGCCTATGATTGGATTGTGACCAGAAACAGAGAAGTCGCCGAAGCTACTAGAGACATTGTTATCCGTTACCGAGATGCTATTACAAGTGCAACAATTGGTAATGTATAACATGATGTACGTACGGACTCTCGAAGTTCCTTCAGTGCATCTTAGTGATCAGAAAGAGAGTCTAAAGCCGAGGGACTTCGGGTTCTCTTCTGGTCAGTCACACTACAGAAATGGCATAGACGTGGACAAGTGACAGAATTCGTCACTAACACCACGAACTGACGCACATCTTCACTTTTGTGCCAGTTCGTGAAAAGCGTAATTAGAGCAGTTTTGGTTTCACGAAGTGACACAAATGTGTGCGTGCGCATATTGTACACTGGTGATTGTCGAACAATCTCGTTTTCACGAAGAAGCACAAATGTGTGTTTTGTCAATTTAGCATAGAAAAAGCTTTAAATGTCTAAAATGATTTTACTTTACCCGTAAATGGGTGACTAAACTAAAAAAAAATGCTCTTAAAACTCGTAACTGTGTAAATTAAGGAGAACTTCAATTTCTGAATACGGCAAATCACGGAGCACGTGACGCAAGACATTTGTGCCTCTTCGTGAAAACGAAAATACCACATTGCTATAAAATACGCGTTGAAGCGCGCACACATCTATAGATTTGTGTTACTTCGTGGTGTTGGTGACGAATTATGCCAGTACGCACTTGAGAGGGCACTTCAACAATTCAAAATTGGAGAGATTGTGTCAAACTTGGTTNCTGTATATTCCGCAAATAATGTTAAAGGTTCGACCAATTGTTTGAGATGCGCGTGGTAATCATCCTTAAGTAATAAATTAGTCAAAGGCCACTCACTGCAGGACTCTGAAGTTGTTATGGATATCAGTCGCACACTGACGTATTAACTGTGGAAGGGAGATAGCAAAGTCCACATTACCGTTAGGGCGTTCTTCTTTACGTTTATAGTTCTCATCTTGTTGGTCAAGGGAAGACTGCTGCATGGTCGGTCAAAGCAGTCTTTTCTTGGCCAGACTGAAGCAAGCTTCATCAACAGGGATGTATTCGTATCGTTCGTTTCTTTTATGCAGATCCAGTAGTCTGTGAGCGAAAAAAAAAATTATACAGGTTACATTTACGTTGTAGAAAATAAGGTTGGTCACATTTGGCTACAGTTAATTAACTAATTTACGATAGGTGACTTACTGGAAAATATTGGCAGCATATTTCTTTCACCCTAATGCTGTTTCTCGTATCGCATTCTGATAATATTTTTAAAATTGTATCCGGTGTCTTTTAAAGATCCATTCGACAGTTGTCAAATGTCTGTTTGAACATTTGCAAATGCATCGTTGTCCTCGAAAACCCTTAGTTAGATTTGAGGCGATTTATGCTCTAGAACTATGTTTATATTTGCATCCTCTTGTTTTGAGAAAAGGAATCGCGTTTGTCCAGAATGTGGTCTTCTATCAGATCTGCAAAGGACTAACTCAAAACGTGTGGGTCTAAAGGACTGCATGAACATATGAACAAGGCTCTTGTCTAGTAACTTTTGAGTAACTTTTATCGCTGGTGAAATGTAGTTTCCTTCACTTACTGATCGTAGATTCAAAGCACAACTTTTGACTCCTGCTTACCAATTTCCATTTCAAAATATCCGTGTGACGTACGTGACTGTGCGTTTAGGTTGGGTTGCTCGTCTGTCCGGCTTTCATCAGTGTCAGTTCATTATTTTAAGCGGTGGCCTACCTGTATGCAAGCGGGCGTTGGTTAAAGCCTACGCACACAAGTGTAAGGCCATTGCATGCGGTATTTGCGTTTAACTTGATGTTGTCTATATATACCTATAATTGTAAGTGCATTGTTTTGTGTATTTGATGGTAAGGGTGAGTAGTTTAGAATGCAGTTTCCAAACTTACATTACCATTAGGGTAGAAATACATACTGCAAAGATCAGAACTTACACCTGTACTTATGCCCCACACATTCAATCGTACCTATTCGTATAAATATCTTCACCTAGGCCTGCCAGCTTTGCTATCTCCCACCATGCAAAAGATTTTTCACTTTTCAAAACTTTGCTTTGGGAACTGGCGCTTTAGACAAGTGGTTAGGACAAAAATGTCTTTAGATCTCAATTTTTTGATGGGAAACAATTAGCAGTAGCATGGAAATATGAATTTATTCGATTTGTACATTTGGAACTTCCAACACAGCTATCTGTGGCCCTGTTGATAAACCAACCAATGGCAAGAGAGAAGTTTCCCGCAGCAGTGTCGGTGGAGTGGCCACCTTTACCTGTGATGATGGATACATGCTGGAAGGGCAAGGCAAGCATGTGTGTCTGGAGAATGGTCAGTGGAATGGACACATTCCAACCTGTGAAGCACCAGGTTAGGAAAGTGTTATCAGATCCAGGCTTGTAGGAAACGTGTGCTCTAAACTAATGGACATGCGTAAATTAAGCAGAACAGGATAACAGGATAAGGATAGACTAAATAGGATCAACAGGGAGTGCATCTCTTAGAAATAAAAAAGGATCCTTAAGTTACTGCAGTCTTACAAAATTTGGAGACTACTTGAATATAATTTTTCCGACCGACAAAACAACCGAAAGACCGGTGACTCGGCTGGCTTATCACTTTCTTTCTGGCGTAGTTTAAATATTTGCTTGTCCATGTGGTACATGGCTGTCACTGTCGTGTGTTTTCTTCGAATGCTTGTTTGTGTGTGTTTTTATAGGTACACAGCCGTGGCAGATTGCTGTCTCAGTCGTTGTGTGTTTTCTGTTCCTGGTTGCAGTTGCAATTGTTGTCTGCTTGGTGATGCGACGAAGAAGGTAAGACCTGTAGACTCCAACGAGGAAAGTTTTCAGTAACGCAGTGACATCATTAGAAATGGAACGAGTACGGGATACGTATGCAGCTCATAAACACCATGGTTATGTTATCTAACACAGTGTAGGAGGACTTTGCGTTTCATATCAGTGTGTTCGTGCATACCTGCAGCATAGCCCGAGGTTCTAACCGCAGTGAAGGACGTGGAGTTAAATGGATTGGTTGAGGGCCGCAAGTCAAGTCATTTTGTTTGGTTTACAAATTTCCAGTCAGGTGACTGGTAGCGACAATTTTATATACGTGGGGTTGCATCCCAAGCAAAGAGGGCGTCATTCGATGGGGGACAGGATGTCCCCTCCCCCAACCTTAACAAACTGGGTATCACATCATTTTGTCTCCCTTCCCTTTTGCAGACTGTAAAATAAGAGATGTAGGGGAAGTATGCCTGCATTGGATTAATAATTCAGATAAAAAAGTTCAGATTTGAAAAATGAAATATAAAGCTTGGAGAAGTGTCTGCTAGAAAGTTGAAGTGGTCAGAAATTGCCTCAGACGCACGACAAACATCGAGAATTCGAAATTTCCCTTGGGTCTTAAGCGGACCCCGAGCCCCGCAGCTATACTGAGGATTTGTGTTTGCGTTATTTCTGATCGGGATGCCGGATGGTATCCCCTACACTTTTGAAATGTGATTGGTGACCATAATCCTAAGCCCAAACCCCTCGGCTAAGCCGCTGAAGTCTATTATACACATGTATAAAAGTAGGATTTTGAGATGAACGCACAAAAATAACAATATAACTACTAAGATTTCAGAGCACGTATCTGTATCTGCACCATTTCCAATGGTCCTTAATGTAAAAAATAACGAGGAAGAAACAAAAGCTGCATGTGGCACCCTTGCTGCTGCTTCTTCTTCGCTGTGTGTAACCTCAAATTGTCGTTTTACCTGCTACATCAAGGTTCGAAGCACTAATTTTTACACAAGGAAAAAATAAGTGAAACTGAAATTTCATGGATGACTGGACTCAATATTTGCTGGGCGAGCCACACAGCATTACCAAAGAGGTTACGCAACTGATTAGATGAACGCAGAAAGAACACAAAGGCAGAGGGGAAAGCACGGTTGAAGGGAACATCAGAGCTTCACCCCCGCCGACTCTCCTCCATCCACGTTTCCTAACTTTTCACCTGAGGTTAGGGGTCCCTCGATATGATGTGGTAATTGGTTTAATGCCGGAGCGACATCGCAATTAGGGACTGTATCATGATGAGAATCGTGAACGGCAACGGAAGAAATGCACCGTTTCACGCTTTCTATCAGTAGCAATAGCATACGAGTGAGAATTTAGTACACAATTACTCGAAAGATGTGTTTAAGATTCTGATATGTCTCCTTCATTGCTTGCCCTTGAGCGGTGGTTTGCATTGGTCGGGCGTACATTTCCACGTTTCCTTGAAGTAGGTTTCTGTTTGTGAGTGTGTTTAGTTTGGTTTTTGGTTTGGTTTAGTGTATCTGGCGACCACCAGAAGCAATTTGCGTTGCTTACACAGGCGGGTTTAAATCGACCAGAGTGTTGCCTCCTGTGGAGAATTCGATAACACAAAATGAAGTTCTCGCGTGCGTTGCTGATAGAGGCTGAAAGTGAAGTTGCATTGTGGAGTGCAAACATGTACCAATAACTATAAATAAGACTCAACTTCTGTTTTGTACACCAATAGTTATTTTTCCAAATGTCGTGTAATATACCCGTATAATTGTCTAGTCTTTAAAATAAGTTACCTCCAAGATGGAAAATCTTGTCAGGAAAAGAAGCAAAACAAGTAACGAGGTATATCTATTGCAAACTACGTTTATCCGTCAAAATCCATTTGATAGTTTATGAAGATATGAACAGAGACAAAAAGAAAAGGAAAGGACTCTTTCGCTCAAAAAAACCGTTGTGGCTTTAGACATTTTTATTTCTGGGCAAATCCATAAATAAACCAATGAACCATTAGCCTTCTTGAATTAAAGTATGGCATAAACAATGGGGGCGCTTTTTGAAGTGTGTGGATTTGGAGAAAGCACTAAAGATTTTTCCCAAATTAGTGCCCTTCTCTTTTGTCGACCATGCCTCAAAGGGGCTGGTGGCTGGTCGTAAGTACAAAAGTAGAAGAATATTTCTCAAAGTGTTCCAGAAATCTAAGCCACTATCAAAACACAATATACACGCATCACTTAATATTACATTTACATGTAAATGAATATTCAGTCCTCTTTCAAATTAATGAGACAAATTGATTTGTATTACCCGCCCAAAATTGTGGGCACTATGTGAGTGGTCTATTGTGTCGTCTTTATGATTTTGTTTTGACAGGGAATGAGATATGCTGTGTCTCACTCGACCGCCGAGCGGCCGCACGGAGCTGAGCAGTACTGTAGTTAAGTAGTAGTAAAGCTGATCATTTCGATACTATGGTGCACACTATAGACGACAATGTGCGCCACTTCGTGGCGTCGTCTCGTGCCGCCTGTCGTGGGCGACGGCACGTCGTGCCTTACTTCAGTATCATTATTAACCATGAGGAAATACGCTACGTCACAATACGATGCCTATCATATTGTCGTCTGTAGAAGAGCACACGATCCCATTTAAGTGGATTCCAATTTATTTTATTTGTAGCAAATGGATAAAGTTGACCTCGAGTCACCTTGGTCCTTGTTAACACATATATTGTTTTTCTTAACTCTTATGTAACTACGTGCCAGACGTAGACTGTTTAGCCAACAAAGCAAAAATATGATTGTTGAAAGATATACCCTCCACTGTTATATGATACATCAAACGTCAACCTCTACTATTTTTGACAGGGTTCTAAGTAATTATCCAACACAGGTCAAAGTGACCGTATGGTATAGTCTAATTGCCTGTGTGTCTGGTTTACAAACCTGTGTTCGGCAGATAACTACAGTTATAAACAATTAACATATTCCCGACCTTAACTTTTTAGTTTGAGGACGGATAGTGGTCACCCCCAAAATCTACAGCTAACTACCAAGCACAAGTCACACAATTTTCGAAAGTACGTCACCAATATCCAGCTCCCTTCAATTACGAGTGCAACTTCCAACCTGCAAAACTGAGTGTCTGATCTCTGCATATTCAGTGGCCTCATTGTCGGACCAGAGGCTTCATGGCAACCTCAACGGCCAGTGTTACCTTTATATGTTAAATGATGATACCATCCCTATATCCTCAAAGGAAATTTCTAGGTTCAGTAGCGAGGTGTGTTTACGGTGGTGGGCTCAAGACTGCACTCCGTTCATCGCCCACTGGTTGTCCGCAGCCGTCTTCACAGAGTGTTCAGTGACTGTGTCATAGAATAGCGTTGGGTTATCTGCATGAATGGCCACCAAGTTTTCCAGACATCAGTCCGTGTGATTACAAACTTTGAGGATACTTGGAACCCAAGGTGTATGCGACTACCCCTCCGGACCTGCACATTTCCTTAAAAAAACCCACATATTGAGGTCGTGAAGCAGACTCTACTATTGTTACATGGATAGACTGTCGCCTGTGTTTCGAGCCAGAGAAGGGGAAGTCGAAGGGTAAAGGGTGTAATCACCTACAGTTCATCCACACAGCAAGACTTGCACATCCCAATAAAATCGATTAACACTATTCTTAAAAACGTTTTAGTATAATAACTGATTTGTATGTCCAGATTCGTCAAATCTTGATTTTGATGACTCACTTTGAAGAGTCGGTGTTGGCTAAACAATCCACGTCTATGACAGTAAAGTTAGCTGGATATTGGACACTGTGCATTCTCATAGGTTTCAACAGCAAATGTGTCGGTTTGGAGAGACTGTTCCCATAGGTTCCTACAGCGAATGTCGCGGTTTAGAGACATTTTTCACATCAGTGTCTTATGTTGCAAGATTCGTTAGCAGCTTGTTGTATTCCAATCTAATTGGTCGTATATAAACAAGCTTTCAGTCAAAGGTTTTGGCAATAATTTATAAATGCAGTTTGTTATTTGCCACTCCATGTGCGTGAAATCTGCATCTCTCTCAATCAATGGGAAAATCACATTTTTTAACTTCTTCAAGGGAACAACCAAGCACGGACAGTTCTCTATCTGCTAGAAACCCAATTTGCTCTAGCAACGTTTACCGTTGGAAGTTACATGTACTCTGACGATTTTAGGGTCAGGAATGGTAAAATATAGTTTTTGTGATGGGAGCGTATTTCCAAATAGAATTAGGGAACGTTTTCAGACTGATGATTAACTAATTATTTCCGTCGTTTTGTCCAAATAAAAAAAATTATGTCGTCAAGTCAGTATGCAAGCGAACGTTTCGTTGAAGTTTGCTGTCAATATTTTTGTATTGTTTATCCACAATAGCAGATAGACCGATCAAATATTCCCAACAAAAAGACCTCTTTGTGACCATTTACATGTTTTAACATAATTTTGCTTGGCTGTGCCGTTGTATCTATAGTGCTTTCACCTTTATGCTTGTCCGTAATTCACGGTGTTTTTGCGTAAAGGGTTTCGTCATGTTTTTTTGTCCAGCCTATGCGATGCCTGCAACATGGTGTAATCTTTTATTTTTACAAATTATACGGAAATCAGTCAAAAAAAGATGATATCTGTGGGTCAAAATTCACCTAAATTGCATTTTCAGTCAAAAAAAATTTGTCTTTTCGTAAAAACGTTTCAGGAAGATGACTGTGGAATGTATCAACCATGCCAATAATTCTGTTTAAGAATTATCCTCTTCATCCCCGAAATTTGAGGGTTTTCTATTCGGCGCATTATCATAGAATTATTATAAAGAAAGTTCTAGACGACAAGCAAGATTTCCTCAAACGATAAAATGTAATACGAAGCCTTTTTTTCGGATAGAAATGACAATGACTTCGCTTGATTCTGCTGTGAATAAGGTGACCCGTGCCTTTTATGTTGTGCAGTTTGGTGGGCGATATAACTCAACACATTCCGGAAGAATTATACACAGTCAATAATATTCGCTGCTGTCGACAGGAGATTGTTTTATTTCCGAAGGATCAAATTATATTCTAGTAAACGTTGTGCTTTGCAATGATGTTATTTTGTTTGATATGCGTATATCATTTGTGCTGACTTGATTTTAGTTGATACAATCATTTAAGATTTCGCTTTCGGCCTGTGTGATTAGACCATTTGTACTGACCTGGTATGGCTTTACTATTTAGTACTGACTTGATTTTGGTTGATACAAGCGTATTATTTGTGATTTCGTTTCATATGAGTATACCATATTGACTTGATTATGCTTGAGTATGCCATTGGTGCTGAGTTGAGTTTCCTCTATATGAGTATATCATTTGTGCTGACTTGATTTGGCTTTATAAAAGTAAATCATTTGTACTGAGTGGATATTGCTTTATAAAAGTTTATCATTTGTGCTGACTTGATTTGGCTTTATAAGAGTATATCATTTGTGCTGACTTGATTTGGCTTTATATGAGTATTTCAATTGTGCTCACTTGATTATGCTTTATATGAGTATATCAATATTCTACTGACTTTCATACGATGATTTTGTTGGGCACTGAGAAGGTGAAAATAAGTGAATGAAAGATAACCATATGAAAAGGGGCTGAAAATATAGGTGCGTGGGAGCTTTATAACACTTCTATGTTCTTGAGTAAAAGCCACGTTTGTACTGCGCGAATATGAACGCGAATTAGTGACGTCATTATCGAATATTTGCATTGCGTGTTTGTGAAAGTTTCATTTTTTTTAATTTCAACTCAGGCAACATTCAGCAGCAAAGTTTTCCTGACGTCAAATTCTTTTCGCAGTCCCATCAGTCTGAAGTATGAACCGTCCTTAACAGTAACAGCTGCAAAGGGGCGTCAGTTGTTAAGACCGGTTCAAAGTATAGGCGAATGTCAAAAAGGAGCAAATTTGACAACGAATGTTTGTAACAATCGCTCGCTCGAGTTACAGTGTGTTCGACTTTTGCAAATTTGCAACACCTATTATTATATTTGATATGACGTCACAAATTTTGTATGAAACGGCCTTTGGTTCTGTGGTTCTTGGTTTTTTTTTTAAATAATATAGAATAGGTTAGTTGGGGAAAGCTAAGTAAACACTACTTGATATCCCTGGAAATTGTTAAGATTTCCATTTTTTTCTTGGTATAAGAACTTTCAGACATGCGAAGGGGAATTAAGCGAAGTTGTTTTTTTCTGCCTCAGTCCGAGCCCAAACATGAAGGTTGCGGCGGCCGGCCGTCAGTGAGAACCACAGAATTAACAGCTCACTAATACACAGGGTATTACGAGGAAGAGGTCCAACTCCGGAATTCGGTGGGAAGGACACTTTTTGTATACTGCGGTTTAAACAGCAATGGAATTCCAAATACATGTACTCGTTCAGTCTAGAGTTCTTCAACAAAGAATGTTCTTGGACAAACAGCTATCAACAGCTACATCAGGAAAGATCCAGAACCACATTTTCGTGGCCAAACGTTGTTTATGGGGGATTGAAATTTTCCTTGTAACCTTTTTGATGAGTTAAGCGACATGCTTGGCTTTAAAAACACTCTCACATTTTTACCCAAATCAAATTTAGATCCAATTTGGGTTGGCTGATATAGCTCCCGTAGCCAAAGCCCACGCCTCGCCGTCCGACCTTGAGCTACCTATTGGAGCGTTGTCGAAATAACCGTTATTGTGATAGTACGTGTTTTGTGGTTTAGAGCCAACTGAGTTGCAAATCAGTCTTTTACCGTTAACAGTTGAAGTTTAAGCTTGGTAATTTATGGGGATACTTCTTGTAGCATGCCAAATCGATTTACAACTTCAAACTTACTTCAAAGGCTTCGACTACGGTTCAGGAATCAGCGTCCTGCGCACTTTTATCATTCACGTATACGGAATAATTCTAGCTTCAGTCGTGAATACTTGATATTTTTGACTAAGCTAAGGAAGATACGACAGTCATGTAATATAAGTTGTCGGGAACACGCACACAGAAAGCGAACAAAGAAACGCTGTGGGACACAAAAGTCAAGTTTTGTACACAGGAAGTTGTCATTTACGTCTCCTTCAATCTGCTGAAGCTCAGGAGAGTTCAGCACTTTCTTCGACAACTTTTCAGTTAAGCCTATTAAGGTCTGTATCTGCATGTAAAAACTGAAAAAGGACAAAACCAAAAACAGGACACCGATTCGATTGTTTACCCCACCCCCTCAAATCTAAAAACCAAACCATCGTACAACGAACCCTCACTGTGACAAACAACTCCAACGGCGTATACTTGTTATACGAGGAAAAGCTTTAAATCCGGATACGTGTGTTTGTACGTGACCTAACTAAAGTTTCCTGTCATCAACCCAGAGCACGGATACTTGCGGTACGGTGTTTGACGGAACGTGCACAACAGTAACCCTGTGAAACAGGATGACCCCACGCCTCCATGATCTTGACAACGACAACCTTCCATCGAATCAAGGTCAGTACAGCCACACTATAAAATGCGGTAGTTGCTGGAAACTCTTAAGAAGGCGAACTGGTTGCGGACCGATGCTGGAAGTGCATCCAAGCATTTAATCTATGCCCAAACCATGTCGACTGCTTTAATGGCTGCATTCTTAAGCGGAATTTTAGTAATAATACTTCCCACAACATATGCTCTGGAAGGTAAGATTGTGTTTTGGGAATTTACTTTGCTTGCAAACATTTGTAGATATTTATGGTGCATTTGCTATATCTTGAGGAAAGGATTTGTGCTCTCTTTTTAATATCCAGTACTGATGAATCGCTTAAGATTATACTTGGACAGTTCAGCCGGACAGCCGGTACGTAAATTCTGCAAGGATTTGGGGTATATTATCGATCCCGCCTTTTTGAGTAGGGTACCCCCCCACACACACACCTTATTTCACATACGAAGTCTGCACATTCCTTTGTCCTCCTGTGGTTAAGGAAACTTGAGGAAAATGCTCCGTTTTTCCAACTAGGATAACTCCTTCGAGCTGAATTGTTCATGATAATTCCCTGGACTGTTCCCCTGACCCCGAAATGCCTCTAAAGCTGTTTTTCAGAGAGGGGAAGACGTTATGCGGACGCCATCAAACCCTTCATCATATGGATTTCTATTGTGCAGAGGTCCACACTTATGTATGTCACACTTGCAAACACTTGGTGAGAAAAAAAAACAACTAGGGTGAATTTGGACGAATTTTTGGGACCTCCCTCAAACCGAAATGTATTCTTTAACCCTGACAAGGCAAAAAATGAGGGGGGCTATAAATAGGCCTATTGTTGCTCGTCCGCAAATCTCGTTGTTAGAATTATGGCACCCCTCGTTGTCGTACCTTGCATTCCGAGGGTTTCTTATTTCAGCCCAGCTACGCATTATGGAAATGGAGCAGAGGCACTCATTTTGTATTAAGTTATTCATGCTGTACTCTTGCGTGGTGTTCCTTCACCCCTTGTCTTATGTTTTCTCTGCTCAGTTTGACCTGTCAGAAATTCCCCTCCACGTGGCTGCGTGGTTGGGCGTGGTAAGGTCCCCTGGAATGCTAATATTCAGAAACCTCAGACTTTGTAACTGTCAGTCATTCACCAAAGATGACCCAGTAAGCATTGTCACACGCCCGGCTGTACACTTTGTACACGTGACTTCTTATTCTGTATTTCACCTTTTTACACAAGACACTTAGATTCTTGCACACGACTCTAGCGGGAAGTCATGTGACCCTTTGAGATGGAATATTCCCATTGGTTGAGCTGTAACGTTCAACCACGCTCATATTTTATTAATTCCTAAGTCTCTAGAAAGAATCCTATAAATAGAGCAGATTTTCCCTAGCTCGTCGGTCAGGTGCAGCGAACCTAACCCTTGTGCTGGAACAAAACCCAACCTAGTGCGGCGGTAGGACCCTTGTGAGATAAGTGCGAAAGTTAACCATTCTTTTGGCGAAGAAATGTAATCATATGAATGCCCAGTTAAATTAGCTTAGCTTGGACTCATGCGACAGCGGTATGAACTAGCCTAGGGTGCCAGTGGGAGTCGTAGCGGCCCGTCACTGCTACGTCCGAACCGATTGCCGGGCGAGACACCCCCGTGTCCCTCGCCACCCTTGTCCTGCTAACTACCATCTTGGTTCGTTAAAAGTTCATTAAAATCCAACTTTTTTGAAAGTGTGAGTTGATTTGTTTTACAATTTTGTGGTTGTGATATCGAAATCATTTCACCCCTTAGCTATTTCACTCCCTCTGTACTTCAAAGGGTACAATGAATATAGCAGGGAATGTGTAGAAAATTTGTAATCCCTTGTCCTTAATTTCCTTGCTGGAGTCATGTCCAGGAGGCTGTACATTTTTTTCCAGTCCGATGGCTCAGTCCCTTAATGAACTGCCCAAAACACGTTCACGCTCAGAAACTAAATTTTGGTCTGGTGGATGTAGGTAGGGTAGACTTTCAGTTATGTTTTTTGTATGAGCCTGATTGTAACGGTCAATGCACGTCCAAAAACCCCATTTCTTATGCCCTTACAAGTATTCAAGGCATGCAATGGGAACTGCATCAGAATTGCCGTGTTGTATTCGTTTTGAGAAGTACAACTCCCCTTGTAGACTACAGTGATTCTATTGTCAATATAAACAATGGTCTTCAAAACTCCCATTGGCATAGCCCCGTCAGTGGTCATTGTATTTTTAACTTGACACTTTCAATTAAATAAGACAAATTGATTATTGGTACTGAGACTCAAATGTTCTGAAATTTTTAAGCCCGGTACTGCCGATTAGTTTGTATTGATAGTCTACGGCTTGTGGTGAAACGGGCTTAAACTGGACGTTTCTTCTTCACTCTTCTTCTACTTAACAGGGCTCATGTTCCCCCATGGAGTTACTGAGGGAGACACATTTCTTCCACCAAACGACGATGGGAGTTCCGGCAGGGTTCCGATATCTATTCTCTTCCCGTTCTTCGATCACAACCACGACTCCCTCTTTGTAAGTACGTCTCTTCAAATTAACGTGCACTAGTAATTGGTACTGAAAGGAGAGCTTATAAAACAAACATGTGTAGGGCCATAAACACAAAAGGTATATGAAGTGACCTTTGAACTGTATAATTTTCTTGCATCCTGATCCAGCTCACGGACGTATATAAAAAAAACCTGGACTTGCAACGCCTTTGTATGAAAAAGAAGCCAACCAGCGGCCATTTTACCGAGCCGAATACAAAGGCGTGGGTTGGCTCCACGGACGTATATAAAAAAAACCTGGACTTGCAACGCCTTTGTATGAAAAAGAAGCCAACCAGCGGCTATTTTACCGAG